TATAAAATAATTTCCTTTATCTAAAAGACAAAAAAAAAACGATAAATAAAATTATACGGTACAATGATCCATATTTATTTTACTGCAATATAATAGACTTCATTGTTTTTGATATCAGATTGCATGATAGTAGAGATACTTTTCATATTTTTCAATTGACATGCACAGACTAAGTTTTGTCTCGTAGTCTGTACCCTGTATAAGACAAATTTTCTTACTCTATCGTATGACATGTATATCTTAATCTTACCCGATCCTACACATCTCTATTTTGCAATAAATAAGATCAATAGTTCCCTGTAGTTTTTTTATCATTGAAAAATAATACAGATATGGACATTTCATGGAACGTTATATGACTTCTTTTTCTAATTTACAAAAAACAATACAAATCAGTGATGAAGTAAAAAATATTCTATGAAATATCTTGGAATTCAGTTTTTCTTTTGTTAAAAACGTTTCAATACTATTAAAAACAACAAAAATATTTTTTTACATACTCGATTTACATAAATTTTCTCAATGAATACTACTTCGTTAATAGATCATCACTTTTTAAATAAAATCATCGATTTATTTAAGATAATTTTTCTTTAAATTCTAAATAAAAAAGAATATATTCATAGGATATATTGAGTAAAACAAAACAAAAACTATCGATTGATTTACTAGTGATTATTATAGTGTTGTATAATTAATCAAAAATGGAACTCGAATGCATCGTGCTTTCATGAGAAAAGATTACTCCACAGGATGATAATAATCGGTTTATATAATTTATAAAGACATGATGTAAATAAGAACAACTATATAATACAACAAATGACTTTAATCTTCTGTATTTTAAGACATCTACATGACTAACATCGTAGTTTTTTTTTTACTCGAGTAACCTTTTTTATATCGATTAACATGAATTTCATTAGAATTAAAAAGGGTAAAAAAAAAGACAGTTGAGAAATATTTTGATTCACAAACAAACGATAATAAATAGAAAAATTCTTTTCCGACAAGGATATTTACTTTTCTTCAATGTCAAAATCTTACTTCATTCACAAAATGCACAATAATAGAGGTTGAAATATGTCATTTTTTTGACACTTCTAGGTATGTCCATTTCATAGTCAACTAGTATTAGTAATAATCAATTTCCTTCAAAAGAAAAAGAAACGTAAGAAAACGTCAATAACAATGCATTTCTTTTAACTGCTTATATATTTCATTATTGTAAGAAAATTACTTTACCTTTTTTACTGTTTTTATTCACGGTTTATATTGAGTTCATATATAGAATCTTTCATTCCATTAATAATACCATGAAATAACGGAAATAGAAGATCAAACGGAGTGCTGTTGTATGCTGTTATAAAAAGTAACGGCCAATCGGCTTTTCAGAGTTTTTTTCTTTTGAATTTGAAAGGTGAAAGAGTTTGCCGATTTATTTTCAAATCTAAATTTTAGTTTATTTTAAATACTAATTGATTTCGAAGTATAATCAACTTCAATCTATAAAACTTTCTGTATATTTACATATCTACACTATTGCAATAAAAATTAACTATATTAGAGGTCATATTTATGATGTTGAAAAGTTAATATTCAATTAGTTTACATCAATCTTATTATGAACATAAAATAAATTTCAAATAAAAAAATTAACAAGCTTACATATTAAAAGTCTCGCATTGTTAAATTGATTAAGTGTCTTTAAATATTGTGAATGATACGTTCCAAACGTGTAAATAATAAAAATTCTAGTCTGTTATAATAAATCTTTAATGACACTTACACGCAAATATTATTCATTTTTTTAACACGAAATTATAATTATCATTAATGACGAAATAGTACAGAACTTTATATTCTTATTTTTATTTCATCAACATCAGTCTTTTATCAAATAGTAATAAATCACAACATACGGTTTTTAGATCTTACTAATGCAAAATGCCTTTGAGAAATACTTTTGTTTTAATCGATAACAATAGATGCACGACAAAAGAAAAATTTAAGTACCAACCTATATGCTGAACAGCAGCCGTAAAAAAAACATTTTGTTTGTTTTTTTCCATTAGAATAAATAAAACAATGCTTTAATTGTCAAATGATGCAAGGCATACCTAATCATTACGTTGTCAAAATGTGATAGTCCAATAAACTTTTCATTTGTCGCATTGAAACTAGAATTTTTCATTGGTTTAAATAGAAAATAGCAGACTAACATTGATTTGTCACTAATATAAACGAAGCTTTTACACTACTCTGCACAATAATATCCGCTATTCATGACTTCAGAAAAATAATAAATCAAGAGTTAACATTATTATCTATGACAAAGAATGTATGCATCAATTACTCTTATATATAAAACAATTATTTTTGTCACAAGTCTATGTGTGAGAAAAAAAATTCAGAATATTAATTTTTTCATTTAGTCATTTAATATATAATGAATATGGCATTTGATTTTATTTACTTTTGAAATATTTTCTTCTATATGTGATTCATTCGTGTATTCGATAGTCTATACACCGAGTAGATTTTTTATATTCATTCATTTACGTCAACACTACAAATATTCAATATGTGAAACCAACCAAAAAATAACTCCCAATAGTATGATGACCTTGATGAGTTTTTCTCATTGACATTCATATTATAGAAGTCACTAAATAATTCTCCATGGAGCAAAAAGCATCAAATCAACCAATCAGTCATAATCTCACGCTCTATTTGTAGGACATCTTTTTTTGAAGTAGAATTGATTGAAAGATATTTGAAATGAATTGTCAAAAATGAATTACATGTGTTATGCATTTTTTTCGTTTTTCACTCTGATTTCAAAGTTTCACATATTTTTTATCTGTTTGGCAATGTTTTCCAAATAAAATAAATACCAAAGAGTATTTCAAATGTAGCGAAAAGTGGATTATATATTCTTTTATGGTTGTCAATGAATATAATTTAAGTTTTATTGATTCATATTTACAGTCCTAATGGATGTTAATAAGCGTGCTTAAATATATTTAGATCGTTTTCATACGATTACGGGAAAAAAAAATGTGAAGAGTAGATTTAATGCTCTTTGAGAAGTTGAGGATTGTTTGACGACTCTTCTACAATATTGATTTCATTGAAAAATAACTTGTTAAAGTCTAAGTATTATAAAAACTGGCTTTCGGTTGTTTTGATAAGTTGAATGTTTGTAGAGTTACAATAAATAACTAATACCCAAATTTCATTTAATTATTATTCCGAAGAATTATGCAGGAAAATAATCTTGATTGTATACTTTAGGCAAAATACTCATCAAATTGAATACGATTTGCTAGTATGAGTACTCAAATTACTTGCGTAAGCACTAGAGTAATTTTATCTTTATGAATACTATTCGGGTACTTTCATAAGTACTCATGCAAGTTCTTCTCTATAGATTTACTCATATATGAAAAGACAGGAGTATTTATTACAATACACATATTCGTTTTTTTTTTGCAGAATATTTAGCAAAAACATATATGCATCTGTATATAAAAAAAAACTAGATTGAAGTAATATGATAAAGAGGTATGACATAATATAATAGATGATAGAAAGATATTGTTTTAAGGGTTTATCTATTCTTTGCTGATGAGTCATTCATATGATTTTGGTCAATGATGACTTTCAGCAAAAAAGAAAAATGACTTTTCATTTTACACTGTTAACTAATCGAGCGAAATTATTTATTTATTTATATGTAATAATACAGATTCATTTAGCTTTTATTTTCTAAATTTAGATAAAAACTTCTGTATTATGAGCGGCACACAGCCAATTATTCAGAGAATGAAGTTCTACATACTACTTTGTTGATGTGCCGTTCAGATTTACATGAGTAGTGAAGTTAAACTTGCATATATTTTATACTATTTATAAATATCAATAAAGTGGAGATGGTTAGTAGATACAATACTTTTCACGCTGCATCTTATAGTATATTTCGTTTTTTTAAATACAGCCTATCAAATGATAATAAAATGAAAAGCAAAAGTGCCCCATTCTTTTATGCCACACCCATCATGATCCAAATGCCACCAGCTAGTTTTCAACAAAAAAACAGTTTTTACCGAAATTTTATTATTATGATATCACTTGAATAGTGATCAAATAGCATAGAAAAATAGGCCGAAAGACGCTCTATCTTTTCATAAAGAAGGAAAAGTTTTTCAACCTTTCCATAAAGAAATTTGGTAATGACGCCACTACTTTTGGATACACCTGAGTACTTTTTCTCGATCATTATTTTTATCTTGAGAAGTAACAACAAGTACAAGTGATACTAATTAAAGCATATGTTCGTCTCCACCATCACAAACAATCGTTCTAGAAGAATCATCAACTTCTTTACTTCTTTCATCTCTTTGTTAAGAATTTCATCAAACAGGAGACAAGATATTGATGTCTTCACTAAAATCAAAGATGATAGGATGAACAGAACGAAAATCCATAAATACTAATAGCAATGAAGAACGACATAGTTTTCTATGTCAATTACAAAAATCATCTGTACTAGAACAATTAATCAGATGACAAATGCATTAATGATTTCCTTTTCATTTTTCTTGTCATGTTTTCATTACAAATCTTCATTTAATTGATATGAAATTCGAGATGTCTAACTTCTCAATTATTGACCATGATATTCAAAAAAAGTATTTCAATTTTCACTTCTATGACAATATTAAACTAGAATTAAAAAGTAGCACTAAATAGATGATTGTAACAGATGATCGAAACAATGAATAGACAATCGATTTGTTTTTTATTTATTTAACTATTTCAAATATCTGAGAAAAATAAATAAATCTTTATTGCTATATATCATATATACCAAATATAAAACTTAAACATCTTTTTACAGAAAAAACAATCTGAAGTTAATAAGCATTTCGTATAAATAATGTTTGGTCAATATAGTTCGATTGCAAAAATACTATTAATAAATTTTCATTATTTATTTAGTCAAAACAAACACAAGTTTGTAAGACAGGAAAATAAACGTCGAAATCTTTTGAACGTTGTATTATTTCTTGACCAATATCTAATTCGTTTACTTTCATACAATTGCGTCGTGTTATATATCTTGTGAAATTTTTTGTCACAATAGATAAATAACGATAATTAACTGTTAATTTTCTTAGACAAGGTAGATGTATTTTTGTCTCATTGAGAAATTGTTCAACATAATCAATATCAACAAAATCAAATTCAAGCCAAGTAAGATGTGGATATTTAACAATTGAATCCAATTGATTATCATTAGACTTCAATTTGTTTGATAGTAGTGACTGAGACTCCATATTAATAACACGTAAATGTTCAAGTAAAGGAAAAGACCAAGCGATTCGAATGAAAAATTCATGTTTGAATGGAACACTATCACTTATCATTAATCTTCTAACATGGTTAAAAATAACATTTGGAAATGTATTACCAATACATCCAATATAATCAAACATAAATGGTAATGAAAAGACATGACATATAGCATAACGATATTTGTATTGTACCATACAGTCTACTTCTTTATATATTGTTTTAGGAAAAGTATTTTGAATATCATATTTAGATAGTTGATAAACTAAAGACTTCATAGTGCCAATACAAATACAAAAATTGAATATATGAAGTTGTGGTACATGGACAAGAATTTCATTATAAATGTTAGTACCATCGATAAATGCAGTTCCCATGCAGATAGTAAGATACAAAGTTAATTCTTCAAGATTTATCATACGACGAACAAGAAGTGATATATGATTATATGTATCAATACAGCAATCAGATGTTGTTGTTAAAGAAAAACATTTCAAATTAGGTAAATCATCCTAGAAAATAAATCAATATATTAGGAAATATATATTATTATCAATTAAAATGAGAAAATCTACCGATAAATAATTGATTGAAATGCTCTATTCTATTTAATTCAATGATGACTAAGCTAATTATTTCGTACTTCTAAATTTTGAACGCATAAGTAATAAATACTGAGATAAATTGTTGAATCAAAGAAATGTTGCTGATACTAAAATGCTCATCGAAATTTTATCAGTTTACAACAAAAAGTTAGTCACATCTAGTATTCATACACCTCTTTCTTTTATGTTTTTCTTTCACTATCCTTATTACTCTTGATATTTCTGATTCGTGTAGTTCTTCTAATTATTATAAGATAAGAAAATTGTCTAAATGGAAAGCAAAAAAAAAAATGTTTACATCTGAGAAAGAACAATTAGATAAAGCTTAATCTCTTGTGAAACTCTCCAAAAATTAGATATTTTCAAAATCTCTAGAAGATAAATATTCTCAGTAAGTTTTTCAAGTTGAAAAGAATAATTTAATAAAATGTAAACTTACCATATTGTATACATTCGATGAATGATATGTCATATAAATAATATCAACAATTAAGCTTCTTAATTGTTTGAAACGACCATCAAGTATAGCAAGACAATCTGCATATTTTACCACACGGATACGTAATTTGTTAAGAATTGAAGAGGAGAAAGTAGTTGAAGATAAATTACGATAAAGTAAAGTTGGAAAAGAAAAGCGAGATGATCCAATAAAAGATAAATGTTTTAGATTTCTGAAGAATTTCATAATATATTCACACAGATCTGTTGAATAATGTCCTAATGTTTTATGAATATAGTTTTCAAATACAAGAATAAGATCTGTAATTTGTCGTAGAAAAGTATGTTTAAATGGTCCTTCATCTAAATAAAAATATAGTGTTATTATCTAGTCTACTTATTGAATAATGTTTTATCTAATTCTTTTGTTTTTACTGCTGCCTACGTAAGCTATTTACCTGTAAAATAACATGAAGCAATTTTACCGTTAAAATTAAAAAGTTTAAGTTCAGTTAGATTAGGATAATCGACAGCAAGAAGAATACGTTCCATAGATAGTGAATCAACAATAAGAGATTTAACATTGTAATGAATTCTTGGCAAAATATTTTTACAAAATCGATCAATTATTGCATCACTCATCGAGGAAATATCATTAGTAAATGTTGTTAATACAAAATTGAGAGTATTAGTGAAAATATTTTCTTGAGCTATAATGTTAAGTTGTCGATTATCAACATCCAACAATGAATACAGAACATCCATATTGTCAAGCTTTTTTAAAATGATAAGTAATATTTCATCAGGTAAATCAAGAACGCTAATGTTAGATTGATTCATGTTGAGTTTGAATAATACTTTTCTTATTATGCATATATATATATATATATATATAAAGATATATGTTCATTGTTTGTTAATGCCGACTGCTATGATTGAATAGAATGAATGGATGACCTCGATGAACAAAAATCTACCGTCAATAAATCCATAGTCCAATTACTTTATGAATGAATATTTATTCTTTTTCTGATATAATAAACACTCCTTTCTAGTACAGGGGTGTGGGTGTGGGTAATTGTTCAAGAACAACTCACATCCACACCCACACCCGACTTACAAACAGCGACCCAGCAGGGAAGAAAAAAACGAATCTAAGAAGCTATTCTTCACAGCAACCGATAAGCATGACCAACTTATATTCAAACAACAAACGGATAATCCTCATTTTTGTCCTAAAATTAGATTTTATTACTATTCCATTTAAACTTGACAAAAAAAATGTCATATGAGAGGTGCCAGTAAAAACGAACATCAGATGATCCAGAAAACAAGCTTGTGTTCTCGGCATGACCTTTTTTCCTTCTCTAAGTGATACCCTCAAAAAAAACGAATGTTTGCTTTTTTTTCTCGTTGTATCTAACCGTCAGCGATGTTGATTAGACGGTCACCGTCTGCCATATACACACTGGCTATTTGGTTGTTTTAGTAGTCGATTAGTTCATTAGAATGTCATCTCGCCGATTCATTCTGTATTATATAAATATAACAGATAGTTTTGCTCGTCAATAATTGAAATGACGAATTCCACTATATTGGAAGACTTATCAAACGAAATATTTTGCGAGATTTTTGATTACTTAAATGCATTCGATCTATTTTTTGCATTTGCTTCTCTTAATTCACGTATTTCATCTGTTCTAAAATTAACTCGTCTTCATGTAATTATTCATTCAACGTATTGTCGTCACCAAATTAAATTTCTTTCTCATCATTTGACTTTCCATTCTGATCAAGTTATATCGCTGAATATCTACGATAAAATTCGTGATCAAACAAACGTCGTTGAATACCTCTACAATCGACATCCATTTCTTAATCTTCGTTCGTGCATATTTTGGTATTTTCGTTCATCACCTAAACTGAAAAATGTCATTAAGCAAATGAAAAATCAAACTCAAATCGTATCTCTTCATGTAGTTCAATCCTACGATGCTAAAGAGGATGAACTTTGTCGAACTCATGCACATTTATTCAGTCAAATGATTTTGTTAAACACACCACCCGCACTTCATTCAGCTACTTTTCAATTTCATTATGATCATCGTGAACTAGTGAGAAATACGACTATCTATACAAAGGTTACATGCCTAGAATTGGTGTTTTACGATACACCTGACAACGTATCGTTTTATTCTCTTATTCCTCTGCTTCGTATACATAAGACATTGCGACATCTTTATGTCATAATCAAAAGTCCCACAATGTCAGAGGATAATAATTATACTAAGTGAGTCTATATAAATGAATAACACCATAAAATACTTACATATGGAAGTGCTCATCCACTTGATATCCCAATTCTTATTTGTTTATGTAGCTTCAGCCAGATATCAGAAAAAATATGATTTTTTTAAACATTTATAGCACATGTATGATGCCGATGATCTGTTGTTGTTTGAGCTCTATGTTTTATTAAGAACAAAAGTTGCCAAGTTTTTTCTTAGAATCGTTTTGTTAAAGGTCCTTTGCATCTAATTTCTTAACAAAAAACATAGAGTTCAAACAATAACAGATCATAAGCATCATATCTGTACTATAACTGTTTAAAAAAATCATATTTTACTGATATCTGGCTAAAGCCACATAAACAAATAAGAATTCAGATATCAGATGGTTAAGCACTTCTATATATAATTATGAAATCAATCATTTTATTATAGAATGAAATAGGGTGTGGGTGTGGGGTGTGGGTGTGGGGTGTGGGTGTGGGTGTGTGGGTGTGGGTGTAGGTGGGTGGG